GGTTACACTAAATCAAACTGCAAGCGGCTTATTCAAGCTAAAAATAAGCCAGCTTATTTTCAGCCAGATAATTTTGGGGATTTTGAGTGAAAAACTCCCAGGTGCAATGGTGGACATCGGTTCTTGTATTCAGTTAAGATGTGGTAATGCACCTACCTTGAAAAAAACGCAAAGAACTCTACGATTTTATAGTATTCGAAAGTTCCGATTCGCAGCTCTATTTAAGGGCTTGGAATTTGCAGGCTCGCTAGATATCAGGTCAGTGACTAGCACCATAGGGACGTTAATGGAATGGCCGTCGAGAATGATGGTTTGCTACCCTGATGAATGGTGCATGGACTATGTCACAGTACCATCTATTAGAAGCAGTGGTGTGTGCATGCATCAACGTGAGATGGTGGAATGAATTGCTTGTCAACGAAGGCACCAATCTCCACTCAACTGATAGTCACTTGTATCTGCGGAAGACTAGAAGCAAAGTACGATGATGACGGGCCGCCCGACAGCTCAGTGATAAGGCACTTGGAGTACCGTATACCGCATCCTTGTTGGCCATTCCATAAACAACTCCCTGTCGACGGATTGATATCAGGCCTGTAGTGGAAGTGTATAAGAAGTAAATTTTGCTGTTGATTTGATTAGCATAATCATTCTTGAATATGTGTCGAATCAAAAATCTAGTGCTCCTTGGATATCAAGGATCAAGAATTTTGCACTTGCACCAGTGGGTCTTGCAATGTCAGAGGTTTCCAAGAATTAAATAAACGCTGAAATGGACGTTTTAAAGAGCCAAGCTTAACGGAAAAGATAAATTCAGTTTGTGGTGATGGGCATATACCACTGAAGTGCAAGCAAGTCAAGAGTCCCGTTTTGGTGTGAACTCCCGATTCATTTTCGTTGCCTTGACTCTTCGTACGAGGCCTTTGATTGCGAACTGCCTTAGCTTCACAGCTAGGTCAATGTGCACACGTGAAATGGTATTTTTCTTCCGCTGTTGACTTTTTCCTTAACAGTTTTTACTCTTCTTTCCTTCTGTGCGGAAACATGCGCGGCGCCCTTCCCTCTTTCGCGGATCCACTTTATTACTACTGTCTCTGCGCTTTAAAGGAGATAGTATCCTGACAAAGAGCATCTACCTAGTTTCTACACTTTTGTACCTTTCTTTTACTACAAGAAACTGTTTCAATCAGTGTCGTTTTGTGAAACAGTTGTTCCCGTTGGCTATGAAAGTTGTCCAGAAGTTAGGAAATGTGTCAAAGGCACTAATTCAGCTCCATGATCCCTATCCTCACGGGATTAAGGCTTCCTCACATAAATTCACAATTTTCAGAGAGTTCAAAAGTGCTTGTATTGTTTTGAGGGATGAATGAAGAACACTCCAGTTGTCCAGACAATTATGATTGAGGTAAAATTATGTGTATTCCAATGATAAACATGACGTGACGTCCTCTTCATGTTTCTAATCCTGCAGCTCTTCGGTATTTTGTGCGCTGTCTTGCATCTGGTGATGACTTGGAATGTTTTGCAGTCAGAACCCTGACCACTAATTCATTAGAAAGAATAGGAGTTGGAAGGATCCGCCTCAAATATTATCAATCTTGATTAACTCTCCCGATGTCTGTTTCAAAGGAACATCGCCCATCACACCTCCGAGGCTTTATTTTATAATGTGTCAACTAAAGTCATTTTAATTTATTCGAAACGGCCACGCACATGTGGCAAAGCAATTGAGATAAGCAAGTTGTAGCTCCAAATGCGTGTAACTCTGGTAGAAAATGTTTAAACTCATTGCTACAGTCAAAAAATGTTTTATTTAAAATCCCAAAGTTTTCACGATTTCAAGATTTGAATTCTGTCTAAATATTACAAGAATAGATCAAATTTCGGCCATAACTGCAGTACTTTGATTATTTGTTTAACTATTTGTGCTAATTTTGCCGTCAATTAAGGCTCCGCCTTTGTACCTCCGCTGGGCGACATTGCCTCAGGGTTATGGCAGTAGTCCTCAGTCCTTCTGTATGACGATAATGCATATTCTGCCCTAGTATTACATCTTCTTTGAACTTCAGGGTAGTCTTGAAGCGCTACATTGGCGCCAGCAGTGGAAAGCGAGCCCTACCCTAGAGGGCACGTACCCAGATTTCTAACACTGAATACTACGCCCTAACATGATGGAGGAATGACATTTGACGAGAATGGGTAAATTTGGGAAAACCTCTAACAGAAGGGCTGAAACTGGCATCTACCTTCAGCAGCTACTCAAGTCCTATTTTCTACAGGATTGCTATTAACATCTAGAAGACTCTAACCGTGAGATAGCAGAAGTTTGGTATGGAGCTGGCCTCGATATCTGTATGAGGATGCAAATTAAGTTGTGCTATATGAATAAAACCCAGATAGATGAATAAGAAAGGGCAGCACTGAAGTGTGAACATTTCGGCAAGTGTTCGTAAGCCTAATGAAGGACACACGAGATGGCCAGCATATTCTCCTTCCCCTGAATACGGTTCCCAAACAGGGTAAAACTGCAGATCTAGTGGAGTAGCTAGTAGGGATCAGTGATGTGGCAGTCGGATATCCTTTCAGGTACACACAAATGCGATGACCGGAACGGTTAGATGGTGGGTTTTTTTCTTATAGCACTTACTACGCTGTGATGACCGACACGGGAGGTTGACCAAGTGGAGCGAAGGGGATGGCGCTCAAAAAAAGGAGAGAAGGATTGTGTGGCTCTTTCATCATTTGCTTCGCGATTATACTTACGCTTGTCGGCATGCCAGTACAACTTCAGCCTTTCTGTACTTCGTCATTGCATATTTTATCCTATCATTGTCTATTTCGTCTCGGGACGCTGCCAAAAAATGCATGCTATTCGCTTATATTGAGATAGTTTGAAACAATTATCTTACGGTCATTAAAAAAACATAAAATGTTGTTTATTTCTCAACACATTTTAGGGATCAAAAAGTTAACACATTCTTAAATCACAGCCTCTTTTTGTATTTTTATTTTAAAATTGCTTTAACATTGAGATTACTCCAATACCGCAGTTCTTTTTATAACCAGTTACTGAAAAAGTGTTCCTAGGTAAACTTTATGGATTAACTTTGAAAAACTTCGCATTTTTTGTGCATCACTGATTAAGTCAGGCGACTAAAACGATCCTGCGGTTTTTGATGACCCTCATTACAATCACTTGCGGAAACCAGTACCGACTCACCAAATCCATGCATTTGTTTATAAGAAGGCATTAACAGAAAGGACATGTCAGTCTTCTGTACAAGCTTCACACCAACTGGGTTCACATGGCAAGAAAGTTCTGTTAGATCTGATGGATGTGTTCCCTAGTTTGTCGAATCCCCAAACAAGGACTAACTCTGTTCCACAGGAAAGTCTTTGCCTATAGGTATTTAGACACAGTGGTGGAGAAATAATTGGTTTACAACTACGCTAATCAGGCAAATTGTGAGAGCTTAGGCAAATGGATGTCGCACGTCACGAATTTTCGGATGGGACGTGTCTTCGATGACTAACGCCTTCCTTTTGACTTCTTTCTTGTGCGTTTTAAAAAGGTCATATTGTTAGGTTTTACCGTGATTGACTGACTTGTAATGAGAAATGGATTGTTTATCGTTGGTAATCCCTAAGGAAATCACTCACTTTTCGCCTCAAACTTCTAAGGTGTGTTCTACTTTATCTCCAGAAATCCAGGGTTCCTCTGGATCGGTGGTAGATTGTAAACGCCATCGTTTACTAGAATGTGTTCATTTACTGAAAACCGCACAATTAAGACTGAGATCCCGATATCACATTCGTAGGAGACATCGCAACTGTCGCATGAGAAAATCCACAATTTAGAATAGAATGAGATAAGGAGAAGGGTGCTCTCTTGCCCGATCCTTCTTACTTCTCAAAAGATATTTCTCTAAAGGATTATCATTCTTTCTTATTGTCAGTATTCGGCACTCATATGGAAGGTGGAAAGGAAAGGAGATAAAAGTTAGATAGAGCTATGTTTTCTGCTTCTCAGGCCGAAAAATCCCCCAAGTTTAGAGTTCATATAGGACAATAGACTGCAACTGCCACCAAATACATCATTTTGAACCGTTTTCTGCTATCATATACCTTTTATCTTTAAATATCGTACGAAGTTGTTTAATTACCCTCGAGGAAGCCAGGCTCTCCCATGATAATAATCGCTCAAAACTTTGCCCCTACCCCCACTTCTATTTCACAATTTCCTATTAACAGATAGAAATTCTCTTTCATTAACAATGCAAAGGATCTCATTCAGTTATTTGAGTAAAATCTCAATTCCTTTCCCCATGTCTACCTATTTCCTCAATTCTCTTGCGCAAAAAAAGCAACTCCAAGCCATCTGGAAGAGCTGTACGTATTTTGCCTAAATTTATGTACATGACACACACAGAGAGCTTGCCAGCCATCACGGCAAGCCTTGGGGCTATGGGTGTGGGCTCGAGGAGGACAGGAAAGTGAGGAGATTCAAAGTAGGTTTCACCAATACAACAGAGAAGATGGACACTCAATCCTTAAAAGACCGGTGCATGTATACCACCGTTCGCAGGGACTTGAGCCGACAACTGATGCTGTGGAATTGGTGGTGGCGGTGGTGGTGGTGGAGGAGGAATACATAGTTCATATTCAGTGAAGGTGGGTGGAATCTGTGGAGGGGGGGCCACATTCATTGGAACAGTCTTTCTCCTAGCTACCTGTTGCTGCTGTTGCTGTTGATGATGATGTGACAGGTAGTCCTCTTCAGCTCCTGTTGTTGTGCCCGAACTGGAGCGTGAGATGTATTGCTGTGGACGCACGGAGTACCTTTGTGGACTGTGCATTGTCACCATGGGCACATGTGAGCCTCCAGCATTTGACGACATGTCAGAAGGTGTCCGACTTCCTGGTGATATTATGGACGCTTTCTGTGAAATCTCAGCGTTAATCAAAGAGGCTGTAGCATAAGGTGTAACGCTGGAACTTATATGATCGAGCCCTGAACCGGTTCCATTTGTACACCCCAACTGGGCCACAGGCGCAACCGGTGGTAGCCCATTTGTGGTCGGACTATTTTCAATAACTGATGCGGAGAAGACACTGTTGTTCGAGATCTCTGCAGGTCGATATTCTACAAAGGGATATTCCATATGTTGCGTGGTAATGTGGGAAAAGAATGGAGACGGGGAGAAATCTGATGCCTGGCAGAGGATGCCCTCTTCGTAGGTGTGCTGCGCTTGGTTAATGTTTGGATTACAGCTCCCTCCAGTTGAAGAACTATTTGTGCTTGCAATAGTGGTGTTGGTATTCTGTTGAGTTGATGCTGTGGGCGCTTTTAATGCTGAATCACTTCCCTGAGGACATTCCATATCACTAACACCACCAGAAATGGAATGAGGCTTGATTAAGGGGACAAGATTATAACCCTCCTTGGAAACTACAACCGCGCTGCATTTACGTGTCGCATCTTCATTGAATCCGCCTCCAACAGATGGAGGATATCGTTGTTTTGGTTGAGTCCTTTGCCGGAGGCAAAAGATGACCGCAAAGAACATCGCAAGTAGCCAAATCACTAACACACCGACCACGATGCCAATTACCCAAGGTTGAAACTGGATAAGACCATTGACGGTACTTGCTGAAGGTGGAGTGTCGCTGATTATTCCACCTTCAGACACGGAGAAATTGATTGGGATGCTTTTGGAACTGCTGCCTCGACAATTCACAGCCGTCATTTGAAGATGATAGATCTCACCAGCTTTGAGACCACTTACAACACCCCTAGTATCACCGTAACTAAACTTCAGTTCTCTTTTATCATTCTCTGCAGCGTTGAATACGTAAACGACGAAACCAGTGAGCAGACCATTCCAAGAATCTGCAGGTGGAACAGTCCATGAAATCTCCACACTATGGTTTGATTGCTTTTTCACTCCAATTATCTGTGGAGGTGTTGAAGGTACATCTTCATGAATGAGAAATAGAGTCGTTTCATTTTTCTCCTGTATAGGGTAGATAGAAATGGGCTGTACCAGGACGGAGTAACAATGGAAGGGCTTTAGATGTGCAAGAGTTGACGTCCAGGGAGATGCTAATCCATGATTTCGATCAAATGGAAAATCGGCAAACATTTCTGGCTCCTCGTGAGGAACGAGTGAAACACCCTGAGTATCCCTCAACGAAGCCGTATTCAACTGCTCTTGGTAGATCTGAATTCGTTGTGTCAGTGTTTCTCCTGAACGCAGACTGCAAAAGGTAGCATCATAGACATTTGCTGAAATGCACCGAGTTAGTGGAACCTCCTTGTAACGAACAGAAAACCCTGTTAGCGCTGAAGCAACTTCGTGTGGATTCTCCATACTCCAAATAACACGAGCTGAAGTGGATGAAAGGACTTGGACCTGCAATCCCTCCAACTTGAATAAACCAGATCCACCGGCTGCTGATGGATCATGACGGTATTGGGTTTGAATAGGGCCTAGAGGGGCACTAGCCCATCCAATGCGGCCCTCAATCCATCTTGGTCGGATGAGAAAGTAATAGGCAGAGTTTGGCTGAAGGGGTTCCAATCGGATAGCATTTCGAAGCCAGGATTCCTGTAAAACCTGCCATCCGAGATCTGCTTCGGCTGTATGGAACATTTCGATCCAATAAGATACCCCATTTGTGTCGTGAATGTTGGGCGGGTTCCAAATCAGTGTCACAGATTTTGCTGTCTGGTTTAAAACTCGAAGGTTCTCTGGTGGCGATAGAGGCTCTACGGGCTCTGTAACCAATGATAAGTGACTATCGGGAGGCAGAACTACCAAACTTGCAGTCCAGTTCGACTGCATATATGGACCATGACTAGATTGCAGAAAACAGGTGTAATTCCCTGTATCTTCCATCATAACGGCGCTGATTTGTAGCCCTCCCCCTGGCAGAAGAGAAAACCTCGGATCACGATCTCGATGAAAAAATTCGATACGTTCTTGTAGACCTCCAGTGGACCTTGTACCCCGCACCCAGAAGACGTTTGATTGACTTGTCTCGAAATCGCTTCTAGTTAGGTCAAAACCCGTCTCTGGTTCACGAGTAATGCCAACTTCGCAGTCTAGAAGAACCGTTTCACCTGTAATACGGGTTTGATTGGCAGGCGGTAGATTGATGATTGGTGGAAGAGGAGTCGTATCCTTGGTAGTCCGAGGAAAAACTTGCAAACGAGCCTTTTTAGTAATAAGGCCGAGTTCTGAATCTACTGTGCATTGATAGACACCACTGTCAGTGAGACGTACTCCTCGAATTTGTAAATCGCCCAATTCATTCACAAAGATATTGTCAACTGGATCACTCGGAAAGACAGTTACTTGATTTGGCAAATCCCAGTAAGTAGGAAATTTGTGATTGTTCGCTGCTCGACAGTGAAAAACCACTGTTTCACCCTCAGTAGCATTTTGATCAGTTGGAAAACGAGAAAACGTGGGTTTGGAGGCCCCTAATACTGTTAGCTGTGCTTCCGCTGCAGAAACACCATCTGCCGCGATGCAAATATACCTTCCCGCATCTGAGGGCTGGACATTTTGAATTGTGATAGAGGTGGGGGAAATTTGTACCCGAGAACGATCAAGTGACTGTTCTCCGTTACCCCTTCTCCAAACAACCGGTTTGGAGTCAGTGACCCGACATCGAAACGTGACTGTCGCCCCAATGGTTGATTGAGTGTCCTTAGGTTTCTGCAGAAAGCGAAGAGTCTTGCGTTTCACTCGAAGAACTGCCGATGGAGACAGCCTTTTCCCTGCAATATTTCTCGCTCTACATGCATACGTCCCAGCGTGTTTAGATTTCACTTCTCGAATGTGGAGATCGCCCTCTGGACTTATCAAGCCTAGTCCAGGTGGAAGTTCGGCATTGTTAAAAAGCCATTCTGTGGTGGGAGTTGGGTTTCCCATGGGTGGCTGACACTCCAAAAGAACAAGATCACCTTCCTCTACCGTTTTGTCGATTGGAAATCGAGGAAAATCGTGCTCTAGGTATGCCAAACCACCATGAACTACCGAGCTAGCTACCCATCCAGCGGTGTTGGAAATGTTGCAGTAGACAGAGTACGTCCGTTTCACCTCTGGATCTGCAATGGTCAAACGACCAAGATATTGATTGACATGGATGTTAGAAGCCGATTCATCAAGCCGTTTTTGCGTATTCGCATCATGCCAAGAGATTTGGGGCTCGGGGAATCCAGTTCCCTTGCATGAAAACTCCAAATTTCCCTCGAGAGGAAAGGTATCCTCTGGTGGAAGAAGTATTTGCGGTGGTGAACTACCTCCAGGCCCTGCGTAAACAAGGAGACAGGTGGAAAGAAGAAAAATAGTTGATGGTATTTCGATGATGGATAGCATCTTCATCTGCCTCCTTGCATGTCTTTGAGCTGTAAAATAAATCAAAGACACTAGTAAATTCGCGGAGAGAAGCGGCATTTATGCACGCGGCCGTCACACTTGAATCCGAATTCTTGACAGGTGAATGCTAATTAGGTGGTGCGGCTTTAAGGAGAGGATTTTGTTCAAAGGAGAAATACGGCAGGTATACCAATCCCATTTGTGGGTAGGTGGTCCTCATTTACAATTCAAATACCGCCATCCTATTGTCATGATACCAAACCACTCTACCGCTGCTACATTCTTCACCTGTCCTCCAACCTAGCCTAATCGTACTTGGAGAACGTGTCAGCATAAAAGCTCTAACACAGGAAAGGATGGACTAATGTGAAATCTAGGATTTGTCCTGAGGAAATTTCAAGTTTATAAAAGAATGGGACAGTTTTCAATCAACAGAAAATCCCCGTGTTTTTACGTATTCCCCTGCCTTATTTATACGCATAGGCCAGTATTTCATCAAAATCGAGAAAGCTTCCATATAGGAAGATTCTAAAGTACCACCAAGTCATCTTAGAATGACCTGCTGCATTGTTTTGATACCTGCCACCTTCTAACTTCCCGAAATTGCTAATGTTTGTTCCTACACCAGGAGGGATTATGAGTCAGTCAGGTGTTCCAGACAATGAGTAAATGCTCCCACGAATGGCTGCTACGCTGTGGTTTTGACTTCGCTACAGCCGAGAATGTTAATGACAGGCGAATGGCTCTCTTTAAAAACACCCACCATTCGGACGTCTTACTAGCTGGTGGTTGACCGACATTCGGTGCCTGAAGTGGCTCTTCTCCAAGAAACTTCCTTACTTGACTTAAAACTTCCAGACCTAGGAAGTGAGTGAAACAACTCCTGGCCTTGTTGAGGACATTTTCTGTGGCATTATGGCAAGTGTTGCGATGAATCATCGAGGGTCATTGGGAATCAATCAAATGTTTCAGAGCCAATCATCAATCATTCTAGATGAAAAATGGTGTTAACATCTACAACTCATGAGCCAGGCAATCTCCTTCTTACAGAATGAGCACAAATTGACGACACCGCTTCGGATGAGTGAGTCACCATCATGGAAGACATATTAGCATATCTGGTCACGGACCCCGAGCGTACACCATTGCCGCAGCCCACGATATCAGGTTACGGAACACTTTAATTTTTTCTTTGACTTTCAGTAGTTACTGTGTGAATAATTCTCCAAATGATTTCACAGGGCAACATTGCAACCTTGTAATGAGTGTTTCCCATAACCCGTAGACCAATGTGATAAGTGGTTGTTATCCCTTCCAATTAGTCATGCTTTGGCCTCTCTACCCTCTACCTCCAATCTCTCTCTCTGTCGTGTGTGCATGTGTGTGTGCGCTTGTGATTGTGACCGCAGCTGTTGTGGCGTTATACAGCGTCCAAACACGGAGACACAGGAGCGAATACGCCAAAGTTTCGCCACCTGTCCGCAAAAAAAGCAGGTAAGCAGAGAGAACGAGGGGAAGAGGTGGACAAGGTCCCTTCGATGACAAAGAAGACGGGGGAAGAACGATCAGGAAGGGAATTGGAAATGGTGTACTTTATTGATGGAAATTCTAATTCCCTGTTTTGTTTATGAAACAACGAGGACAATGGGTGTTTTTAAAATGACCCTATTGGGACGTTAGTCTGAGTTTGGGGGTCATTAAAGTAAGGACTTTTAAGGTCATAGACATTTATAATTGAGAATAACTTGCTTAGAGTGCTTCAAAGAACTAGTTTTTACCCTCAATAATGGTTTGTGTATAGAGGGAATGCACTCATTAAACAAATTAAATGTGGATGCGAACTGCTCCACCCATAATTAGGCCTAGGAGGCTGATCAAAAAGTGCCGGGAATGGCAACTGTTCTATCGTACTTGGTGTTTTTTGGCACGGATCCATGAATAGCTCCATTTTACTTCATCGACACATGTTGAAAAAGACCAAACCGAAGGAAATTCGATATCCAAATTTTTACTCCCTTGCAAGCATACGAATACTACTTACAATTCACTGAAACTGCATTTATGCAATCGTATGCCTAATTTTTAGGCAAATACGGATTCGCTGATATTCTACCTGCAGAGAGGATATTTCCATCCCTCTCAACAAAGAAAATTTAATCAAATAATCAAAATATATGGGAAAGAGACTGACAAGAACAATCACACGGAGTAGAGACTAAGGACGCATTCAAAATTATAGACAACAAAACTTGTAACGTTGATGTCTGCTACACACTTTATCTTGTTCGTTTGCTATCAAAACGTGAGATTGGGAATTTAGGTATCTTAAAATATTTGCATTTTTGGGGGAAAAGAACTGAAAAAAGGAGATAATTCCTGGACATTACGTACCATTTCATACTTCGGAGGATGTGGAGAGACAAATTTCGTTCGCCCTTTTTACTTGTGAAGACAACACTTATGATTTGCCAGAATCCCGTACTAATATCATGTTCCCCTCCAAAATATTTTACTCTGGAATAGTAACTGTTTTTGATGACATCATGTCCAAGTAGGGGGCAGTTCGGATGCTCATGACAGGCTTTCTATCAGCGGTGGTGGCTAAAAAAGTGGGAAAAACCCAAAAATCTGGAACTCAAATTAAGCATTTCAGATGATGGAAGAAATGTAACTAGACGTTCTATGGACATTTATTTCGGAATTGATCTTAATACACCATAATCCGACGATTTTATACTATAGGCAAGCTAAAATCGCCTTTCATGACCAATAATTGCCGGTTAGGAGACGCACTTCTCTCCCAGCCTAGCTAACGTTATCCAACTCGAAACCTTTATAACCTCAAATCTAGTTCGGAATCACGGGGAAAACTTCCGAAAACCGAAATGACAGGCAAAGGCAACAGCTGATAGATGAACCCATGTCCCTGCCACGCAATGGCCCCAAACGCGGCGGCAGTGGCGTCGATGGGGCCTGTGTGTGTTTATCTTATACTAGCCTTTCCCTTCTTGACCCGATAGCCATAAAGTCGCCAGCCTAGGGTGCATCGAGGGACGAATCGCGTCGCGGGTTGGGGAAAAAAAGTGTGGCATTTAGGAAGAAGGAGTAGGCCGGCGTTTTCTGGACAAAAATCTTGCCTTCCGTGCAAGATTGGTTGATGGAAGGTGCGGGGGGGGGGGGACGGAGGGAGGGAAGGGGACGAAGGGCAAAATGACGGAGAATCGGACTCTCTGTGATAAATTAACGCCCCATCCGAGACGAAGGAAAAGGAGGACGAGAGTGCTGAATTTACCGCACGAACAGCTGCTTTCGGAAAGCGCCAGACTGTGGGAGATCGATCACTTTGATGTCTGATCCTTCGACTTTTTTTTCGTTCCTTCCTCTGCAAAAAAGTACGACTTTCTACGCGTTTGTGTGCGTGTGTATGTGAAGCTCAATTGAAGCGTTAGAGATGAGCACAATCTACACCCCCATAATGTCGCAGTAGCCTAAGCAGGTCACATATAATCACGGCGGAAAACGGATTTGCGTAACTTCAAATTGAATTCACCGAAAGTACGGCGAAATTAATTGAAACTTTAAAGATTAATTTCAGTATTAGAGTCGAGAGACGATGCCGTGGAGGAGAGGAAGGAAAAAGAGTAGGTAATTACAGACTTTTGGTGTTTGTGTGGACTTCAAAATCACCTGTCCCCTTGAGTACAATTAGTAAGATAGCGGAGAGGAGAGGGGATGGGCACGATTAGTCGCATAAGCGGATGCTGTCTCAATTTTTCCACTTCAACAGATGCAGACCGCAGGGGCAAACATCCGCACTAAGACATCTTTCCTCGTTGGGGAACGAATACTTGAGCATGAAAGGTCCTACAAAAGTTGATTGGTGTACAAAATACGCTTACTGTAGAATAGCATCCCGCCTTTGGAAATAGTTGGCAGTCCACAGCTAGGAAATGAAGAGTGTACTCTATTAAAGTCTATGAGGTATGTGGCAGTAGTCTTCTCAGCATGGGAGAAAGTCATCGTTCAGTGTTAGAACTGATTGAAAGAACCCGACTACTCAAGTGATGGATGATTAAGGGGGTGCATACAATGAGAGCACGAAGTATGGTGTAGAAAACGAGACAGGACCGCTTTTGGACATCCATGCCATCTCCTATGATTCAGTCCTCACAAGAACAGCACGCCACTATCAGTTTAAGATAGTTGGTTTCACCAAAGTGGTTGTGATCTTAAGGCAATGTAGTAAACATATGATTACGATCTCGGTTTGAGGATGATTACATTTTTCTTAACAAATGGTATGTTGTGTTGAGAAGTCGAAAGACCTCTCCATGGGCAGCCACTTTTGCTCTGAGACCCAGTCAGCAAATTTGTTTATCATACATAAGCCAATTGCTGCCACAAAATGTCGCCCGGGCAGAAACGAGCATTGAGGCTGGCATTTCAATTAGTGCTGCTGTGTGCAAAAGCAACCGTGAACTCCCCAGTGGTATTGCGGGATTAAACCACTTGAAAGAAGGAGAGCGGTAGAGGCTAAAACATTCCCTCATTTTCTGACAATGCCAGCAAAATATCATGTCAAATCTACACGGCTTCATTAAAGCCTTCAATGGAGCAAAAAGGTGTTATGCAAATGTCATGCAGTCGATGAAAAGTAGACGATTGCTACGTGGACAGACAAAAAACAGCTTTATCGGATGTCCTGTGACCGGACGAGGAGGAAGCGGTCGGATTATACCTGCTAATCCACACAAATGACATTAAAGGGGTGTCGGAAGACAACAGAAAGCTTGAAAATGTGTGCCGATGAGTAGCAGTAGGAAGGGTGATAGTTGCTATGGTGATGTGATTTGCTTATACGAGGCCACAAGTTACATGCCAATCATGTCTATACGCCTTGACAAGTGTTGCTAGAGGCCAAAGGCGCACACTTGTGAACAGGTGCTGTTAGGCTGTTTATGGAACATGAAAGCAACACAGGCGTGCACCCGGAACTGACT